ATGTAGCGGGTAAGACAGGTCTGGGAGTTGAACCTCAGATTTTCTTATTTCAGAGCCCTTACTATTTCCATTGCATCCGCAGAAAATGTAACACAATTATAGCCACTGCACATTTCCTTCTTTCTCACTTTCTTTTAAGTATTTCCTTTAAATGCAGGCACTGGCTTGACTTCAGTTAAATCTAAAGTAATTTTGTGGTTTAGTATAAATAATGTAAATCCTGTACTTCTCAGAGTAGGATCAGTAACTTCAAAGAGTTCTGTTCGGAACTTGCTGCCTATACTGATAACTGGCGGTAAATCTTGGATCAGAAACTCCTCTGCAGAGCTGATATAGGTAGTATTTAATGATCAGGATGAATGTTCATTTTTTTGTTCAACTGTTGATCTCCCTACTTTATGCTGATTTAAATAGTTGTTCACCAAACTTTTGAGCATCTGCCAGGTTTCAGGCTCTATTAGGCACATACTCGACACGTGTTCAGAGATGAAAGGGTATATATTCTATAAAACCCACTCACAATTCAGTGACATGGCTGTTGTCCCCATTTTTCCAAATGAAAAAACTAAAGTTCAGATGTTTTGACTTGGCCAAGGTCACACAAGTAATGAGCACACATACCCACAGGTAAAGTCAGTCATACAATAAGAGCAGTAAGCCTTTACATTATTCTTGACTGTACAATCTTAGATCATTGACAACAAATAGTACTAAATAGTGCGTGTAGGTAAGTCCGTTTATGGAAACTAAAGTGATGTGAGACAGTTCCACTTCGCAGGATCTTCTCCAGGTACCTAAAAATGAGCAGTTGTTATGTTAGAAAATGCTACAAGACTGAGGGATAGTATATTGGTTATTTATAGTTGAGTGATATCAGTATGGGAAACAGAATTCAGGAAAGGAATTGAGACTAGGATGGTCTAGGAGATGTAATTTAGTGATTGAGAAATTATTAAGTGCCCCTTCTGTGGTGGGGCCACAAAGCTGACTAAGGCATAGTCACTATCCTCACGAACCATGTCTGGTGGAGACAGAAAAGTGCGAAGTGGTAAATAGTACAGACTGACAAGTGCTGCGATGGGGGTGTGCTAGGATGCTCATGAGAGCGCTAGGAAAGGGGCATCTAAATCAAGTGGGGAGGGTATCAGAGGGAGTGCATCCTAGAGGTCATTCTAAAGGAAGTACTGCCTCAACTGAGTTGAACAAACTGTTGACAAGGAATTAAGTGAAGGATGAGGGCTTGCTTGCTTCCAGCAGAGGGATCAGCACGGATGAAGGCACAAGGCCATGAGGTAAGATTGTGCGGTTCAGGAACTGCAAGTGGTTGCGTACAGCTGAGTAAAGGCCATGTGCGGGGCAGGGGTGGTTGAAGAAACTTCCAAGAAATAGAGGCTAGATCATAAAGAACTCAGGTAGGCTTAGGCTAGGAAATATATATTTCATCCTGAAAGCTGTGGAAGTTATTGAAGGGATTTTAATCAGGCAAGTGAGTGAGAAAAGCCTGTAATTTGGAGACTTTGGCAGTGATTTTGAGGCTGGATTGCTCAGGTAAGGGAAGACTGTAGTCAGAAAGATGTGTTACATTTTTGCTTTAAACAAGTGATCAGGGCCTGAGACTAAAATTGTAAGAATGAATAGGAAGATAGAAGATATTTAGAAGATGGACTTAATGTAACTTAGTGATTGACTGAGGGGATAAAGGAGATGTTGTCTATAGAGAGTGGTACCATTTATTGAAATAGGAAAATCCAGCAGGAACAGATTCTCTCTGTCTTCTGTGAGAGAAGTGGTGGGTGGTGGACATGAGAGAGAGGTGATTGGATGGAGGGCAGAAATGACTGCCTTAATTTTAGGATAGAATTTAAGGTTCTTGTGGAATTCCTCCAAAAGGATGGTGCATTAGGTATTTGGGTATAGAAATCAGGAGGAATGTCTGGCTGGAGATAAGAATTTAAGAGATACCATATGAGTCTGAGCTGAAGCCATGAATTTGCTTTGAAGGCTATTAATCTTTAGCGGGCAGGTAATAAAAAGGGGAGACCTCAAAGGAAGCTGGAGAGGAGCAGCAAGAAAAGTAGTCTGACATAGCCCTACGAAGTGGGAGCAGTAAGGTAAAATCAGGACAGGACAAGTATCTTTCGGATCTGGTGTTAGGAAAGTCGGTGGCCTTGGCAAGAATAATTTCAGTATAGCATTGGGGTTAAGAACAGAGGCTCTAGAATCCATTTGTATTTAAATCCTGGCTCCAGACATTACTAACAGTGCGGCCTTGGATGGGTAGCTTAACTGCTTTTAAAGAATGTTAGTTTGTTTCTGTCAAATGTGGCTGATAATAGAAACTTACATGGATATTATAAACAGGGTTAAATGAGATCAGGTATGTAGATGGGTTTAAGATACTGAGTCTTACATGGAGTGCTAGGTCTTACTCAACAAATGATTGTGATGTTTTCACTGACTTTGTGGGGACAGAAGAATTAATGAGAACTGTGGAAGTGAGAATAGACAATTACATTTTATTTTTAGAATGTTATAAAGTGAAAGAAAGAAGGAAATTGGGTCAAGGAGGATTTTTTTTTAAGGACAGGAAGAAGTTGATTGTATATATACTTACCCTTGGTACCTTTGGGGGATTGGTTCCAAGACCTCTGTGGACACCCGAATCTACAGGTGCATGAGTCCCTTATGTACAATGGTGTAGACAGTCGGCCCTCTGTATCCATGGTGTGGAGCGCTGACTGGATATTGCTGGAGGAAGAGGACGCTAGGGCACCTGTTCTACTGAAACATGGAAAAGAAATGTTACGTGGACACAGCTCTGATAAGCTTACAGAAGTGCTGGCACAAGTTTTCCTCTAAATAATTCCAGTGTAGTCTAGACTCAAGCCTTTTCTGGTCTGGGGCCAACTGAGAGCCCTCAGTGCTCAGTTTATAAGTGGCATAAGAGAGAGCTTAGCAAGTAACTTGACCAGTGGCTTCAGTTTTCCTTAATTAAAACAGATGGGGAAGGGGTGGGACCATTGAGAGAAAGGGGGATTTTATGTGGTGGGGCTGCCAGGAGAGCGTGGCCCAGGGACACACAGAAGGATTACTAGGCAGCACTGAGCTTCCCCCCCGCCTCCCCCACCCAATCCCTGGTGCCACTACAGATTCATAGAATGTGACCTGCAGGGTTTTCACTAGCACTGTTCACCAGCCTGGGTGTGAGAGGAGAAGTGGGATGGCTGGATTAACCAGGGACTGGAAGGTGAAGGAAACAAGAGAGTAGGGACAGTAGTAATAATAGAGAGGGAGTGAAATGGAGAAGGCAGAGTAGAACGGAGACATTTAGAGAAAACGGACTTGTCATCTCTCTCGCACGAGGGAGAGTGCGTGCGCTCCGATGAGGTTGAAGAGTCAGTGTGGAGATGAATGAGGGAGCTGGAAGGACGGGAAGTGCTGGGCAGGGAATGGGATTTGGTAGTTAGGATCAGAGCATTTCAGGACAGGGGCAGCTCTGAGGATGGAGTCATGAGAGTGAGGAACTGAAATAGAGCTGGCTAAACGTCTTTGATGTATATAGATAGATCAAAGACTTCCTGTCAGCAGAGGCAAGGAGTCACGGTGTTTGCAGAATGTGATGCGTGGAACTGTGGCTGGTGTGTGACATCAATGTGGGGATTGATGGGAGAGAAAGCTGGGGGGGTGGGAACCTTAAAACACTGGGCTCAGGAACGTGCATCCTAACTATATAGGCAGTGCAGAGCTAGTGGAGGCTTCTGACTGACTTTCAAAGATCACTCCTAGGAAAATTGTCCAGCGTAGGTTTGTAGGATGGGCTGGAAGAGGGAAGAGACTCAAAAGGACATGTCTTTTTATCTCCTCCCCTGGCAGCCATCTTTCTGGGTTCCTTCCGCATGCCCTATCAAGAGATTAAGAATGTCATCCTGGAGGTGAATGAGGCTGTTCTGACAGAGTCTATGATCCAGGTAAGAAGCAAGGTCATTATGGAGCTGGCCCTTTGCATCGTTGTACACTAGCTTTGTCTCCTCTGTGCTTACACGATAAGGATGCTTTAAGCATTGTTGGTTTAAAGAATGCTGGCTTTGGATAAGCTTCCATCTCTCTGGGGATCAGGTTATTTCTGGTATATTTTTCAGAAGTCCTGCCACCACCCCCCACCCCTAGCCCATGTTTCCTTCCGAGTGGTCCTTGGGCAGAGTGAGGGACTTGACTGGAGGCTTGAGCTGTCAGCTCATCCCCCTCAAACTGAGACAGTCCCTTCTCCCTTTCAGAACCTCATTAAGCAGATGCCAGAGCCAGAGCAGTTAAAAATGCTTTCTGAACTGAAGGACGAATATGATGATCTGGCTGAGTCGGAGCAGTTCGGTGTGGTGGTGAGTGAGGCCTGTGACACAGGCTCTTCTGTGACCCCTTGCTCCCCTCCTCCCTCCGGGCACTTGCTCCTGGCCTCTTACCTATTTTGAACCCATCTTTCTTGCTTTCTCCTCCCTGCTCGGGAACTCAGATCATGTACAACCCCGTGCAGCTCAAGCCTGTACCTTTTTCTGCCTTTCCTCTCTCTCTGTTGGCTGTAATGGAACTGCTGGTCTCCCCTAGATGGGCGCTGTGCCCCGCCTGCGGCCTCGCCTCAACGCCATCCTCTTCAGGCTGCAGTTCAGCGAGCAAGTGGAGAACATCAAGCCAGAGATTGTCTCTGTGACTGCCGCGTGTGAGGAGTTGCGGAAGAGCGAGAACTTCTCTAGTCTCCTGGAGATTACCTTGCTTGTCGGAAACTATATGAATGCTGGCTCCAGGAATGCTGGTGCTTTCGGCTTCAACATCAGCTTCCTCTGTAAGGTGAGCAGGGGTTAGAGCGGGACCACAGAAGGGAAGGCTGTGGCCTCTAGGAGCCCAGCATGGGAAACCGCTGTCGGCCTGAGGCGACCTTGGTGTGTCAAGACTCACCCTTTCTCCTCTTCCCCACCAGCTTCGAGACACCAAGTCCGCAGATCAGAAGATGACGTTACTGCATTTCTTGGCTGAGTTGTGTGAGAATGACTACCCTGATGTCCTCAAGTTTCCCGATGAGCTTGCCCACGTGGAGAAAGCCAGCCGAGGTGAGGCGGATTGGTGTGCAGCTAGAAGGTGGTTCCAAGCCCCAGAAATCCCTGCGTGGGGTAGGGAAAGAAGACATAATCCAAGTTTTAGATTATTTCCAGTTCAGACAATTTTAAGTGGGAATGGGAGACAGTATAGGCATGATGTCCAAGCCCCAGGGAGGAGGAGGAGTGTCAGGCAGAAGAGGGTTCTCCGTGTACAGAAGCGGGAAGCACTCTTTCCCTTCCTAGGGAAACTCCAAACGCCAGAAAACATCTGGAGCAAAGGCAGGTATATTTAGTTTGTCAATGGTTTTTCTCATTCAGAAAGCATAGGAAGGATTAACAAAAACCAGACCTCACCGTCCTGGAACGAGGCAAAGAAAAAGCAGCATTCAGTACAAATGGGAACAGATTTCTGCCCTGCCTCTATATTTCTGTGTATGTCTCCTTCCTCCCAAACCCTGTTCTCAGAAATCAGTAAGACCAAGATCCCAGGGGATTTCAGATTCTTATTAAAATAAATGAAGCCTCTCTTCTCATCTTAGAGCCGTACAGCTTGTGGAGGCTGGAGGTTTAAACATCAGGTGATTTACCGTTTCACTGGAAGTATGTGTGAAACAATTAGTATGCAGGAGAACCGGAAGAGTTACGTACCAGCTGTACAGACTGGAGCTGTGCACTGAGGACAGAGTAAAGGTCTGGAGACTGGAGGTCATGAGCTCTTGCTGTCTGTTTTTGTGTCTAGTTTCTGCCGAAAACTTGCAAAAGAACCTAGATCAGATGAAGAAACAAATTTCTGATATGGAACGTGACATTCAGAACTTCCCAGCTGCCACAGATGAGAAAGACAAGTTTGTTGAAAAAATGACCATATCCTTTCTTAAAAGGAGGGAATTGCCCCTGGGAAAGGAAAGAACTTCCCGTGGGGAGACGGCAGGATAGATCTGAGGATGTATAATTTTTCCCTCTTTAAGAAAATTTCTTTCACTAAATGCATAGTTGTTGAAAACATTCTCATTGTTGTGGTTTGCATTACAAACCATGCACGTAAACTAAAAGTCTCCCTTGAGACCCTGCCCTGTGCCCAATCTACACACACACAGTCCCTTCTCCCCCTTCCCTTCCCAAAGGTAACCACTGCCACAGACTTCTTTCTAAATTTGCACCCTAATGAATTTTAAAAATTGCATTGTGTTGTTTTAGCACATAATACTTCTTGGCCCTGTTTCCGTAGCAGTATATGCAGAATAGTCTCTTTTTAAATTGCCCCCTCCTACTCTGTAGACATACCATAGTTCATGGTTTACCCTGCCCCTGTTTCGGCTGTTTAGATCGCTTCTGATTTTTGCTAATATACACAGTGCTGTGTTGAGCATCCTTGTGCATGCCAGCGCACATCTCTGAGTGTTCCTCTGGGCTAGAGAAGGGGTCTGCTTCTCGGTGTTGGTTCTTTACTCCTTGGCCACACAGCTTTGTGAAGGACGCCCAGGAACAGTATAACAAGCTGCGGCTGATGCACTCCAACATGGAGACCCTCTACAGGGAGCTGGGCGACTACTTCCTCTTTGACCCCAAGAAGGTGTCTGTGGAAGAATTCTTCATGGATCTGCACAACTTTAAGAATATGTTTGTGGTAAGCAAGGGATACCTGCCCACTGAAGCTCTGTTGGACATTCCTCACTTTCCTCCGGGTTCATGGTGGTGGGTGGTGGGTGGTGGGTGTGCACATGTGTGAGTGCTTATGTACCCACGTGTTCATGTCTCCCCCCGCAGCAAGCAGTCAAGGAGAACCAGAAGCGGCGGGAGACAGAAGAAAAGATGCGGCGAGCAAAACTAGCCAAGGAGAAGGCAGAGAAGGAGCGGCTGGAGAAGCAGCAGAAGAGAGAGCAGCTCATAGACATGAATGCTGGTAAGGAGTGAAGGCGAAGGGCCGATGGGTTGAGACAGAAACAGCTGGAAGGCTTCTCTGTCTAGAGGCCAGAGAACAGCTCACGTCTGAGCTCAGCTCCTGGCAAATGATTGTTGGCAACCTCCTCCTTCAGGATCCTGAGGCTGGACTTTTCCCCCAGCTCCGTTTCGTGCACAGTCCAGCCCTCCACTCTCAGTCCTTCCATCTCCGTGCCGGTTCCTGCGCTGTGTCTCGTCTCCCCGGTGATGCGCTGGTGCTGTAACGTGCACTCTTCCCTTCTACGTGTCCAGCAGTTCCTCTGGCCGGCTTTCGTGCCCTCTGCTCTGTCATTTGTTCTTCTCCCCAGAATGTTTTCCTGGCCCTGCTCCTGTCTTTTAATGGTGACTTGCCTTCTCTTTCTGCTTGTTTCACTAAGAATTGTGTCCCCAGTACCTCAGCACAGTTGTGCATCTATCAGATTGAATTTCTGGAAAGGGGGCAAGGGAGCTGGCCACCCTTCTCTTTCTTCAGCAGAATCTCTGTTTCACTCCCAGAAGCATGTCTTTGTTGAAACATATGGCCTCAATTACTGGCCCTCTGTTCTCTGTTTCTGCTGCTTTCCTGCTGCCGATTCCCTGCCCCCCTCTGGCTGCTGCCCCTGTGGGCAGTGGAAATCCAGCGAACGTTCCGCACGGCCCTGAGCTGATGCCACCCTTCTGGAACCTGAGGGGCTATGAGCCATCTAAGTAAAGAGGTTCTCAGGGCTGCCGGGTCTGGCTTCGGTGAGCACCAGAGGCCAGGGCTGCTCTAACACTGTTCTTCCTGGGGACTTGTTTTTGGCAGCTTCTGCTGTGGTACGATCAGGGACCTGAAGCAGAAGGACAGCCTGCGTTTTTCCTTTACACTTTTCTGGGAAGCAGTTCCCCTGCTCTTACTCCAGTTGTATATGAGCCACAAACTTTGCTCTAGTAATGCTGTTGAAGCCCACACCAAGTGTCCCTTAACTTTCCACATTTTCTCCAGGTCTCTAGGGTTTGTCCTCAATTACTGTCTAGGACATAATAGGGAAAGGAGGAGGCCAACTGATTTGTGGGACAAGGGCAGCACACAGACATCAGGGGGTGTAGGGGGAGGCTGGTCCATGTCCCCAGGGCAAGCAAATGAGGTTGGAATGTAGGTCAGCTGCACTGGTGATGCTCAGCCAGCAGATGGCGCTGGGAGCAGTGAGCCCAGCCCAGTGGCCAGCAGCCTACCCCCTCCTTGGGATTTCAGTTTCAGATTTCACCACCCTGAGCTGTTGCCATAGAAACAGAGCCAGGCTGGAATAGGGATTCTACATTAACTGTTTGTATTCCAGCCAGGAAGCTCCTGTTAGATGCGGAGCTAACGTCAGGAAGATGCAGCCACTGGGGGCAGTACTTAAGTGAAATGCATTTGAGAACAGTGGTCTCTTAATCTTTCCTCAGCCCTCCTCTGATACTGGAACCAGGCTCACCTCCAGAGCTTTATGTAAATTGGTGTGAAACAGTTTAGGATAAAAAGAGAGTGGTATAGTTCCTCATTAATGTCATAATCTCAGTCTCTGCTTATCCCGGTCTTGGAGTTGGGCAGTTCTGCAATTCTTTGTGCTTGTCCTGGTGGGGATGGGAAGGGAGGGCACTGCAGGAAAACACTTGACAGTTTGCAGTGGCTAGTGGGTAATGAAGCCTTTTGTTTTAACTATTTTCAAACAAACAAGTAAACGTAGGCTGTGAGGCTTGAGGTCGAGCCCCCCCAGACACTGGGGACGAGGGCAGGCCGTGCAGTAGCCATGCATTTTGTGTGGGGGTCAACTCACAAATGCTCCTGGGGCTGAAGAGCTTACCTCTCCATCTCTGTCCACGGCAGAGGGCGATGAGACGGGCGTGATGGACAGTCTCCTGGAAGCCCTGCAGTCGGGCGCAGCGTTCCGGCGGAAGAGAGGACCCCGTCAGGGAGGTAAGCAGATGGAGCCGGGCCTGAGTGCCCAAGGCCGTGAGGCCTCTCTGCTCCCGGTCCTGCTTGTCTTGGGCTAAAGGGCAGGCAGTGATGTTCTGAGGGGTTAGAAACTTCCCCACAGTTGTCCCCACATGTAGAACGGATAATCTAGCCCTCTTCCCCCGATGTTAGAAAGTACTGACTTGGAGAACTAGGGCCTGAGGGACCGACAACAGGCATTACATTTGGTTATTCCTGCACGTCCCCCCAGTCTTGAAGCTGAAATGTAGAATAAGCAAACTAGTATGTGGGACACAGATTTGGTAGGTGTTTGCAGGCGTGAACAAAAACTGACGTAAACTCAAAACTGTACATCAGATGTAGGAAATACAAAGGAAAAGTAAGTCGAAAGTCCTTCCTCTCAACTTCACAAGCTACAAAGGAAAAGTAAGTCGAAAGTCCTTCTTCTCAACTTCACAAGCAGGAGAGAGTATGGTAGAAAGGGTAGAACCCTGGAGAGAAGGCCAGGCGTCCTTACCCTCAGGTAGGCATCTCAGCGGACAGGCTGTGACTGAGGATGGCCTTCCTATCCCGTGCACTCAGCCTCCACGGCCTGTGCCTTCCCCATGGGCTCCCACACCACCTCCTCTCTCGGCCTTCAGAAGATTTAAGTGGATTTTGTTGAGCCAGAGCCTCTAAGAAGAATTATGGGGAGAGGAGGACAGATGATCCAGGCATTAGTATGGGGAAGGATCAACAGATAAATTGCCTTTGAGGGAAGTGTGTAGTGGCCGAGTGACTGGTCCAGCAGAAGGTATGGCCAGAGCTGCCCCTCCTGGCCTGCACCACCGAGTGCAGTGGGGCTAGGAATGGTGGCTTCTTTCCTAGGCTGAAGGGTGGGAACTACAGAAAAGGCAGCGTTAAGAGGTTCTACTCCTGAGGTAGGTAGAGCTACATTCCCTGGTCCCTGTCTCGTGCAGTCTGTGGGCCGATGTGGTTTGCTGTGAGCAGTGCTCAGCTCGCAGTACAGTGATAGCTGCAGGGCCTCTGGTACCTGTCACATTCTGGAAGGGGGGCTTTATGACCAAAGGTAGAGATTACGCTAACCCACACACACCTGGTGTCCTGGCCCCAAGGTAGATCACTCTGCGGTTCATACTGAATGGCTAGCTGCCTGTTTCTCCCCAGAGGGAAGTTCCCATCTAAGGGCTCTTCTGTATGACTTCAGAACCTTCCCTAAACAGCAGAGTCCCCAGTTAGAACTCTTAACCTGTTTTCTTACACTGAGTGCAGGCTTTCTAGAAGGGAGGAGGTGGGTTTGCTGGACTTGGATCTTTCTGGGATAGAGTACTTAGTCTTATAGACCCAGGTTTGGCTAGAGTATGAGGCTGGTAGTATTTTTGTGATTTAGGCTGTAGTGATTCTTGCGACATTGTTCCTCCCCACCATATAAGGTGATGTCAGTGGCCTGACATGAAGCATTTCTAGACAAACAAAAGTATGTTGCCTCTCCCCGTTTTCCTCTATCCTCTCAGCTCAGTGCCAGCCAGCATCAGACTTTTGGTGGGGAATTCCCTTCCAAGCTTTTTCCTTTGGAACTAAACCAGAATCCCAGGTGCTTCCTGGACACAGGCAGCCAGACTTCAGTGGCTTCCCTCTGCCGGGGAGGCCCCATTCTCTACTTCTTCCCTAGTGGGAAACCAGGACTGACAGCAGGGAAAGCAGGGGTTGTGGTAGACCCAAAGCTTCCAGCAGAGGACTTGAATTGGTCAAAGTACTGTTGCCCAGTGCAAGAGGGACTAGGACGAGACTTTGCCTAGGAGATACTGAAGCAAAAAGAAGGTAAAAATGACAACTGCATACTTTTAAAATTGGCTCCATCCTGTATCCTTATCTTTCTGGGTTCACAGAACACACCTAAACATCTGGGAAGGCCTCTCGGGAGATATTTCTAGTTACTCTGGTAATTCCCATGTGTACTCACTTCCTAGAAGGTGATGCGGCCTTACTGTAAACTTAGACAGAAGGCCAGGCATCACGTTCGGTGTAAAACGCACAGGACTAGGTAGGGATCAAAAGCCCTGAAGTCAGATCTCACTGCCGCTGTCTAGAGGACCTTAGACAGGTTTCTGAGGCTCAGTGTCCTCTCGTCGAAAATGAGAGTTGAGCTAGAATGGGCTCAAGGATTCCTTAGGGCTAGTTTTTTTTTTTGGTACAGTGACAGTACAATTGAGAAGAAAAGAAGGAGACTAGACCTAAAAGGCCTGTGAGAGTGTTAAACTATGAAGGCCCTGGTGGCCGTGGGTTTCCTTCAGTGGCCGCTGGGCGGAGCTGGGCCACCCCTGGCTGGGCTATCTCTGTTCCTGCTTTGAGCCGAGGAACTGCAGCGCCGGGTGCCTCACAGCCCTCCTCGGCCCCAGAGAGGCAGCTGTCCGCAGCCCAAGACACTGCCTTTTCCCTAGGATTTAAAGGAATGTTAAAAAAAAAAAATCCTTCTGGTCTCTGGAGACCTGAGGGAGTGATGAGTTATACAAAGACCCATTGAGGAGTTGGAAGAGGAGTTCCTATCAGGGCGGGTTCATTAAAAGTGACAGAGCGCTGTGGTCTGCTGGGTTGGGGAGAACAGTGCTTTGAGTGTCCAGGGGAAGAATCCATGTGATTGTGTCACAGCTACTATTTCAGGCTGTTGATTGAGTCAGCTTGTGGTTTTAATGACTCAACTTTATGTCCATATCTGAATTGTGGCTTCTGATACACAAGGCCATCTGCTCCCTGGGATAAAAGTCAAGAGAAGAAAGAAATTCCTCTCTCTCGCCCTCGCCCTCGCCCCGCCTCTAAGCCCCACCTACAGTAACAGAGCCTTACAGTTGGGAAGGAAGGGCTCCTGACACCCCAGGTGATTGGCACCTCACCTGCAGGTAACAGGACTTAAGACCCAGAGAAGGTCTTGCTCAGAGCTAGCCTGTGCTTGGGCTACAGTTCTGGCTCTTTTTTGCGAATCCAAGTCTGGGCTCCTCTCCCCTCCCAGGTAAGTACAGTGGACCCCTGAAGTTTTCATTTATCAGCTTAGCTGCTCTGGTCACAAGCTGAGTTACTTTTCCCTCAGAAACAA